GGGGGGGGGGGGGGGGGGGGGGGGGGGGGGGTTGCCCTCGTCATGCATTGGGGAAGGAATAGCGTCCTCTTCGTTCGTGTCAGTATCCAACTCATCTATCCAAAAAGAAAAAAGTGAAAGGTTCCCATATTGTTCTGCTAAAGCTTGCGAAAGAAATCCATAAAATAGGGCTGTATAGAGTTGCAGGGTTGTAGAGCGGTAGAGTTTTAGAGCTGTAAAGCTCTAGAGCTAGCTGTAAAGTTGTAGAGTTGTAGAGCTCTAGAGTTGTAGACTTGTAGAGTTGTCGGGCTGTAGAGTTGTAGAGCTCTAAGGCTGCAGAGTTGTAGAGCTGTAGCGTTGTAGAAGTGTAGAGTTGTAAAGGCACAGGGCTGTAGAGTTGTAGGGCTGTAGACTGAGCTGCAGTGTTGTAGAGATGTAAGTTCTACAGCTGTCGGGCTGTAGAGTTCTAGAGCTGTAAAGTTGTAGGGTTGCCAATTTGTACTTCAGACGAATGCCAAAAGTTTGTGGAATGTAATATAGGCGTGTGTTTATAAGAGGTGAATATTCCCCGATAATCACTGAGCCTGAGTTTTAGCATTTTTACACAAGCCTTATGTGCTTTTTAGGACTGAATTTATTTTAATTTCGCTTATTTCTTTATCAGTAACTTCCACAAAACGGCTAGCCGCCATTCTGTAAATTTTGGTTTTGTTATATTCACCTGTAGGTGAATATAACAGCTTAATACGTCACATTTGACATAGATAGATAAACTTTATTTACCCACGCTAACCCTGTCAACAGAAGCTGATTTTCCACAGGGGCGTGTAAAAAGCGATTGTTTATTCATTGATATACCCCGCGTCAAAGAGAAATTGACACTTTCCGGTTTCTGACAATGCTCGACCTAATTAGCATGTAGCATACATTTTTACATTTATTTAATATAGCAACTTATTTGCAGAATTGTAATCTTTGTTTATGAAAGGATATATTAAAATTAAAGATTGTTATAAGTTTTACAGTTTAAACAAATGCCTGTATTCGCCGATCGATATTTCAAGCCGTTTGCTAAATAATCGATTCAAGATATTCATAACTTGAGCACGCCCCTGCAATGAACATGGAACCACCGGTAAAAATAAATACAAAAATAAATGACCAAGCGCGACAGAAAAAATATTTGCGTATTAATTGCGAAACGTTTAATAAACAAAAGCAAAATAAAAGTTGACTTTTAAGTTATTTTTTCCAGCAATGTTGCTGGGTGAGAGTTTTCAAGAAAAATTATGTTAGCAACGCATGCGTCGTCACTCGTCAATTACAGGAAAATTATCAAACTTTGTAGATGATTTGTGGCTATGCCCATCAAGTGCCCAAATATTTTACGTTTCCCGTTAAAAAAACACAGCTCTAGGTTCACAATGGTAGTAATGTGTACTTGATATAAGGTGCCAAACTTACGAAAATTGCTATTTAATTTGTCTTATAATGTGCGACTTTGCAAACTAGTAACAGTGTATCTTTTCAGAAAATTATTTCTCCTCAAATCCTGGATAGATGTTCCTGATTTTTTGTTGCAAGAAATTATAACCACAGATTGTTAAAATATTTTGATACATAAGACTCTCACTTACCTACTTGCTTCGCGAGAGTCGTACGAAAATCTGCTATTTACGGCAGTTTCAGGCCGCCATTTTGGACCCATCAAGGTGTAAAATATCGATGGGCCAAATTTTACAAAAAAAGCTTTTTAACGCAAACCGATTTCTTTTTTCATACAAGTACCTGAAAGGAAAATTATTGTGAAAAATTTGAAGACTTTCATATTTCCTTCCAGAACTGGGTGCCCGGTTTTTACAGAGACAGCCTCTTAAGTAACTGACTTGCTGTCGGTAATAGCGTACGTGTCCGGCGAGACATGAGACGCTGAACAGGACTGCTGCTCATATTCTCAGTTGGAGTATTCCTCCAGTCAAGAATAGCTTTCCACACATCTAGACCACTTCGCTTGGCTTTTTTTCATTAGCCTCTTCGCAATCTTTACTGCTGCCTCAACCTTTCCATTAGATTGACTATGATATGGTGATGACGTTGTATGTTCAAATTCCCAATCTTTAGCAAAACTAGTGAAATCTCTACTATCGAACTGTCCACCATTGTCCATCATGACGACATCGGGCACTCCATGTCTACTAAAGTGCACCTTGCAGTGTTCAATTACTGTAGCTGCTGTCATATCAACCAAACGATCCACTTCCCAAAAATCTGAATAAAAATCCACAGTGATAAGGTAATCTTCTCCATGTAGTGTGAAGATATCCATGGCAATACGGCTCCATGGGCATTCAGGAATAGGGTGTGTCATCAACGGTTCTTTCTTCTGCGCCTGCTGATATTCATTGCACGTAGTACACTGTTCGACCATATCCTTGATTTCTGCGCTCATATTAGGCCAGTACAGCACATCTCGCGCCTTTCGAAAACAGGATTCTCCTCCAAGGTGACTTGAGTGTATCCGCTGTAACATCTCCGGTCGCATTGACTTAGGAATGACGATTCTTTCTCTCTTAAAGATAACACCATTCTGAACCGTCATTTCCTCTCGGAAAGTCCAGTAATCTCTGATCACTATGGGCACTTCTTGTCGTGTCTCAGGCCAGCCAGAGAGAATAGTGGTCTTTACTCTTTAATACTTGTAGGACCATATCTTGTACTGTATGCTGCTGTATTTGTTTAAGTCTATCTGCTGTTACGTTCAGGAATGACGTATGATTCGCACTTTCCACTTCTTTCTCCACTTTGGTCTGTTGGCTGATGTGTAAAATCTGCTCTGTTTTCATCTTGCTGCTGCCGCTACCAGTTTCGGGTAATGAGGCTCGTGAGAGTGTATCGGCCAGATACATTTCCTTTCCTCTCTTGTAACTTACATCTAAGCTGTATTTCTGCAGCTTCAGCAACATTCTCTGAAGACGTCGAGGGGCGGTTAGTAAGGACTTCTTGAAAATTACCTCGAGTGGCTTATGATCTGATTCGACAAGTACTCTTTCTTTTCCATAGATATACAAATCGAAACGTTCACAGGCAAAAAGAATGGCAAGACATTCTTTTTCGATCTGTGTATATCTGCGTTCCGTCGTTGTCAGCGACCTGGAGGCATATGCCACAGGTTGCCCTTTCTGCAGAAGCGTTGCTCCCAAACCGACTTCACTCGCATCACACTGTATCTTTACAGGCTCGTTTACATCGTAATACCTCAGGACTGGATGGTTTGTTACTAATTGCTTGATCATCTCGACAGCTCTTTCATGCTGTGTTTGACACAACCAAATAGCACCTTTATCTGTAAGGGGTCGTAAAGGCTCGCTTACTTCTGATAAGTGCGGTAAAAATTTTGCCAAATAATTGACAAAACCCAGTAGTCGCTGAACGGCTTGCACTTCGTCTGGTGTAGGCATCTCGATGACTGCTTGGATCTTTCGTGGATCCGGATGAAGTCCCTTGGACGTCAATGAAACTTCGGTCCTCCATAACTTCAGCTTTTGCTTATTCAGCTTCAGACCGCGTTGTCTTGCTCTTTCAAGTACGGCTTCTAGGCAATGATCATGGTTTTTGACAGCTTGCTCCTCTGTGTCACCTGATCCATATACACGGCAAAAAACGCCGAGCCCGTTGCTCAACAGGACTGAACAATGTTTTGCTGCCCACGTTGTTCACACTTGTCAACAATATTGAACAATGTTGTTGAGCCTGAATCGGGTGTAACAATATTGTTTAATATTGTTGACAGCTATGAACAATGTGGGCAGCAAAACATTGTTCAGTCCTGTTTTCATCAGTATTGCATCAACTTGAGCGTTTTTTGCCGTGCACCAAAATATCATCTGCTATCACCTCAACTCCCGACAAGCCTTCGAATACTTCATGTAACCTTCTCTGAAATTCTTCAGGCGCTGTGCTTATTCCAAATGGCATACGGCGCCACCGATATCGACCATATGGCGTCCGAAATGTAGTTAGGTAACTGCAACCATACTGCTTATCCACTCCGTGGATGTTGTTATCTTGGCAATCAGTCCTCGTCTTTCCATCTCTTCGATCTCTTACTTTAACTCCGACTTTAAAGCTACTGCGACTCTTCGTGGCTGAGCTTGGACCGCTTTAACCTTAGTATCAATGTCCATATGATATTCTCCTGGAAGAGTTCCAAGACCATTAAACACATCAGAATACTTGTTTAATATGCACTCTTGAGTTAAAGGGCTGCTTATCACTTTGGTGGTAACAGGAGTGTCCTTCTGTACTGTCAATGCATTAACTCTTTCTTGATGATTAACAGTCAACAGTCCCCACTGCTAACACGTCGCTGCTGACAAAAGAGGCTTTTGGTTAGAATCCGCCACTTGAAATTTAAGAAGGTAGCTACTTGCAGGTTGGTTGCATCTTAATTCACAACATCCTAATGGTAACATCACCGAACCATCATATAGTCGTAGCTTTGTATCGGTTTTCTGTAGCTTTGGATTACCATCCTGTGCAATCTTGCAATACTCTTTGTAACTTATGACATTACATGTAGAGCCACAGTCCATTTGGCATTGTACCAGTTGTTGGGGACCATCTCCAATGCTAAGACACAGGATTGCATACCATTTCTCACCTGCAGTTTTAGCCGTACCAACTGTTTCTTCAACTACTTGATAAAGTGATTGATCTGATGACTGCTCATGGACATCTTTCTTCACTTTCTGTTTACAGACTCTTGCGAAATTATGCTTTTTCTAGCAATTATTGCAGGTCTCGCCATAAGCTGGACATTGTTTTTTGTCTCTTTTATGCTTGCCACCACAGTACTTACACGATTCTTTAAAATATTCCTTCGCCCTTCCATTATTTTTATTTAATCCCTCTTTTTTCTTGGAGCCACCAGATTTCTTTTCATTTCTTGTGTAGTTCACTGCTGCCACTCCATCAAGTTCATTGTTCATTGTTTTCCATTGAGCATTTGCTATTTCACTATTCCTACACATGTCAATCGCCTTTTGGAGATCAAGATTCGGTTCTCTCAACATTCGGGCTTTCGCACTGCTGTCTTTGGCTCCCAACACTAAACGATCTCTGATTAACTCGTTTTCCAGTTGTTCGAACTTACAAGTTGCTTCCATTTGCTTAAGCTTCGTAATATATTGGTCAATCGTTTCTCCTTGCTCTTGTACACAAGTGTTAAACTTAAACCTTTCGTATATCACATTTTGTGTTGGTTCAAAATGTTTCTGAAGTGCATCCAAGACCTTTGCTATGTCTTTTCTGTGAATATGTTGATATATTCTAAAACATTCTCTACCCATAACCGACATAAGCGTAGCGATTGGTACTGCTTCATCTTTTTTATCGAGACCAGTCGCTATCTCATAGTTTTCGTACTGTGCTCTGAAGAATGCCCAATTCTGAGGCAAATCGCCTTTCATCGCCATTGACGACGGCACTGGAAAACTATTCGTAGCCATTTCAATCCGTCTCAATGTTCTTCACTAACTTGTCATCCACGCTGTTTAATGTCTTGTGAGTCAAGTTAGATATTTTATCTGTTCATTTATGTGCTTTCGTACGCAACTCGGGTTTATCTTCGAGGCTATTTTACTCAAGATAATCCCACACCTGACACCATGTTACGACGCCATTTTGTACACATACAATAACAACACTTTATTAAATATTCTACCTAATTACACTGACCTGAAAGGTCAAGTGTCTTAAATCCCTAGTTTTCTGTTTTCTTCTGTTTTTTTCGTCGTCGAGAAATCGAGTTTGCGTTCGCGCATCGCAGGCTCAAGGTGCAACGATTAATCCAAAATGCCATCGATTCTTTGACTCCACGATTCATATATAATAGTAAGAAGCTGGTATTTATGTACGTAATAGTCGGCTCATGTCATGCTTGCGGTGCATTTTTCGTTTATTAGCCCATATATAGACCTATATGGACTTATACGCACGCGCACAATTCCGAACTCCAATGGTGACATATTCAGTCCAGTTTCAAAATGGCGCCTTTTGGCTGAGTGATCAGAAAGTATTTCACACAGTTTCTTTGAATTTTCAAAGAGTTGTGCCGGTTTCCTATGGATTTTACGTTGTGTCGCACTCTGAACTTTCTTGCGTGTTGAACTAATATGTTTTTCTTCGTGTAACGACTCGAAAACCCCAAAGTTTGGACCCAGCGAATTTTACAAAGGACAAGTTAAAGGTTCGACAGTTTGACTTTTTAACTAATAAACAACCGTCTATAAATATACGTTGTAGAGTCATAAGCATCCGTGGTGTAGTTGTGTTAATTTTTTGTCGCACTCTGGACTTTTCTGCATGTTGAATTAATGTTTTTATTTTTGTATTATACGACTCTACAATTTGGCTTTGAAAATTTGGCCGACCCGGCGGATTTATGCAATCAATATGTTGTATTAAACGACTCGAAAACCCCAAAATTTGGACCCGACGCGAATTTGTACAATATAGTGGAATATAAGCAAGTACAAGTTAAAGATTCTACAGTTTATTTTGATTTATTGTATGGTACTCATTTGTCTAATACAATAACATTTAGTTCACAAGGGCAAGTTAAAAGTTTGACCATATTAAAATACATGTATTGAAATTCGCGCAATAGCTACTAGAATTCGCGCAAGTAAAGATAAAGCGAGCGTTCAAAATACCAAAAAGAACTAAGGCATTTATTGTATGGTTCTCATTTGCCTAATAGAATAACATTTAGTTCACAATATAATATAAACACAATATAAACAAGGAAAAGTTAAAGGTTTGACAGTTTCACAACACAACGTCGACAATATACCTTAATACATGTATTAAAATTCGCGCAGTAGCTACTAGTTGGCGCGCCAAACGCTTTGTGGTAGCTATACTAAAGATAAAGCGTGCCTTCAAAATACCTACAAGAACTAAGACATTTATTGTATGGTTCTCATTTGCCTAATACAATAACATTTAGCTCGACGCGAATTTTAACTATAGTATCATATTTCATAATATAATGAACAATGTAAACTAGCCAATTCTTTCACCTACAAAATGTCGACAATATACCTTAATACATGCATTAAAATTCGCGCAGTAGCTACTAGAGTTCGAGCAAGTAGTAAAGATAAAGCTTGCATTCAAAATACCGAGACATTTATTTGCATGGTTCTCATTTGCCTAATACAATAACATTTAGTTCACAATATAATATAAACAAGGAATAGTCGTTCGATTTGGCTATACAGTTTGCTCGTTTTGAATGTGTATTGATCATTTCAATAATCGATTTACATATCAGTCTGCTCGATTCGAGTAAGGGTTGCCCGATTATAACTATTGGACCTATTGAATTTTGACAGTAAAAACGCGCCATATATAATACATGTATTAAAATTCGCGCAGTAGCATACTAGCATTGGAGCAAGTAAAGATAAAGCGGTGCGTTCAGTGAAATACCAACAAGAACTAAGATATTTATTGTATGGTTCTTATTTTCCTAATACAATAACATTTAGTTCACAATATAATATAAACAAGGAAAAGTTAAAGGTTTGGCGTTTGACTACACAATGTCGGCATTATACCTTAATACATGTATTAAAATTCGCGCAGTACGTATAGCTAGTGCTACTAACATTCCGGCGGACCTATTGAATTTTGACAACAAAAACGCGCCATATAGCCTAATACATGTATTAAAATTCGCGCAGTAGCTACTAGAATTGGCGCAAGTAAAGATAAAGCGTGCGTTCAGTGAAATACCAACAAGAACTAAAACGTTTATTGTATAGTTCTCATTTTCCTAATACAACTCGATCAACTCATAGCTATTATGTGCTCATTTGTTATCATGTGCTCATTAATTCTTATATCAATATTGGAACATGATCACGAAATACTGCGTAGCGCAAAATCTCCATTCTTCAAGGCAACTGAAAGGCGAAGAAGACAATGATATATTGTATCTGACTGCTACAATACTCAGAAATGATCCACGATCATGATTTGATAAAGTTCAATATGGTCACGTGATTTTCGGTGTGAACCTGATATACTATCTATAAATATTATTACTAAGTACCTGACATTAAACTAAATGTGATTAAAGCACAAGAGATGTTACCTATGTCTCATTTTATATTTTTATTTTTTTCCTATGAAGGTTTGTTACTTGTGCAAAAGCGCAACTTTAATTAGGTTTCAAACAGTTTCTGCCTTCTGCTTTTTGTTGTCGAATTATTGATTTTCTTTGGATAAATCTACCGTTGAAACTGTTCTATACGAACTCTCTTGCTTCCCATTCCCTTGTCTATTACACCATATAGCCAATCTCGTTCCCCGAGCCTGCGATCCTCGGGAAGGAAACGAAGGCTCTGGGATAATTCGTTGCCGAAAGCCAGGAATTCTGGCTAAGATTGAACTGCACATTCCATATCAACGGCCAATCAGATTCCTCCCTGAAACGGATTATCCCAGAGCCTTCGTTTCCTTCCCAACGACCGCAGGCTCAGGGAACGAAATTGCACCATAGCACGCATATCATCATTTTCAGGTCAGTGTGAACGCCTGAGTAGGCGTCTTGTTATATATACATAGAAGACTGAGTAGGAGTCTGGAAGCCAATCCAGTAACAAGCTTCACCTCGCCGTAGATTTTATAATTCTCTTGAATGAATAAACGGAATCAGCGCTTTTTGCTTCAATATAGACAGATTATTCCAATCGATAGCTCCATTGTATTTAAAACTTCTTTTAAGAAATTCTTTCTTTGGGTTTGGTAATACTAGATCAGTTTCACGATTCCTAAGATCATAAGGGGAATCGCCTTCGAAATAGTTGCTTTAAATTTGGGGCGGCATGGTCATTAACTATTTTATACATGTAAATAGATTTTGTATAGTTGCGTCTCTCGTCTAAGGATTCCCAACCTAACATATTCAGCACATCAACAGATCGAATATCAAAACTAGACCCCGTTATAACTCTCGCAGCCCGATTCTGCAATCTTTGAAGCTTTTCCCTAAGACCACATCCACAATTGTCCCAAAGAGAGCTGCAATAATCAAAGTACGGTTGCACTAGGGCATTATATATTAGCTTAAGTTTCTACTGGTGCAAAAGGCTTCATTCTTCTCATAATTCCAATTCCAGCCCCAACTTTCGCGCAAATATTATCTATATGTTTTTCCCAAGTAAAATCTTTCATCCAGGTCAACACCCAGGCATGTGTAGTTGTCCGTCCTGGCTGAAAAATATAAGGACAATTTCAACGTTTCGAGCGAAGGCCCTTCGTCTGGAGTTACTAGTGAAGTTACTGCCTGTCTAGAGTTGATATAACTCCAGACAGAAGCGCCTTCACTCGAAACGTCGAAACTCTCCTTATATTTTTCAAGTAATTGCATCACTACCAGCGAAAGCTTGTTCATACAGTTGTAATGGCCCGTTTGCCGTTCTTTTATCATGCATAACACAATAAAGATTATAACTGGTTAACCGTCATATAAAAAATTTCGGGTTAATTAAATTATAAGTTAGACAAATGCAAGTTTGAAGCTCGTATATTCTTATACAATAATATGGCAAAAGAAAACTATATATATTAGATGTAACAACAAGCATGCGTATATTTTAGGATGTGACAAGTTCAAATAGGCATTATATTGCTTGCTTTTCATGCGAACAAATATATATTTCTAAAAAAAAACAAGTATTAATGGGTATATCCATCTTTCATACTACAGGAGTGCAAACTAGAAATTTAAAAAATATTGAGTTATTACACACAATTAAATTCAGTGTCGGTGTTACAAACAATTTTCTACAAAACTCTTTGAGACCATGCCAGCCAATATTACAGAGTTATTGAACATTGACAAAACAAACTTTGTCTCCCCCTTCCCTCAGTTCAATGTTGTAAACAATGCCCGTACGACTTTTGGTAATATACCATGACACAAGCTCAAAATTGAGTTGGGGCAGGTGGGGCTTAAGAAGCTTTTCATCCCCGAGCCAACCGGCGAGGAGCGCCGTTCCTGGCGTTAGCCTGGGACGAGGGTACTAATTCCGCCCGGCTATTTACACCCGGGGAAAGGGAAGCATTAGCGAAGTCTAAAGTTCATCAGTGATCGGGGGCGTGGGTCACCAACCGTGGGTGGTCATCCTCACTGATCTCAAAGAACATGGCTGCTTGTCAGGAGTGGGATAAGCAATGCAAGATTTCAATTTTCAAAAGCATATATTTGGAAAATCATGGGTTTTTTTATTATTATTATTATTATTATTATTATTATTATTATTATTATTATTATTATTATTATTATTAAAGTCTTTATTGTCTAGATGCACAACAGACGTGCAACTTTACAAATGTCAAATTCCTATTTTTTACAGTTAAAAATATTGATCTATCC